GAAACCTATGGTTTTTGACTTCGGAAGCTTAATTCTTTTCGGAAATCAGCTCTATTGAGATCGTTTTAGCATGATAAAACAGAGTACATCGAGAACTTTACAAGAGTTCTTGAACAATTTTTTTTTTTACATTATTGTTTTCTAACTTTTGTTATATCAATAATGATTTAGACAATATATGAAACACAATCTTTTTAATTGGAGTTTCTACTCAAAAGGTCACAAAAGAAAAATATTTTAATATATTTGATTAATATTCTTAATTATTATTATTTAATAAATTAATAATTCCTTTGCTCATGGATAATAATAAAGGCGGTGTCAAAGCAAAAAAAAAAACAACTAAATAAATATCTTGATGATAAAAGAAGATTCACTAATGAAATTCTCTGGTGGAGAAATTGAAAAGAAAAAACTAGAATCAACTTTGATTGTTTGTCAATTATTGAAGTCTTTATTTGACAATGATGGTGTGATTATTGGAAAGTCAGTAAATTTAATTTGTTATTAAATTAATTTTCAACATATATGTAATATGCATGCTTTAATATTTAATTTTTCATACATCTTTATTTAATGCTTATAGTCCAAAAATTGATGAAACAATTTGTAGAATATTGGTCCCAAATACATTTGTAAGTGAAAATGATGAATCACATTTTACTGTTCCTGTTAGTGCAAATCTTGATTCATCTCAAGGTTTATCACCATCTACCTCTTTATTATCATATACAATATCTTTTAAATCCATTGATAAATTACAAAATCTTCTACTTAAAGGTGATCATATTGCTGCAATAAGGATGAAAATTTATGGTTGCATGCTCTAATAATTGCAAGTTGTGTTAATAAAGATATGTGGAAAGATGTTGTAAATGGCTTTATTAGGCATGAAATGGGCAATCAAATGGGAGATCTGTTTCAATCAAATGGAAGAGAAAGTTTAAAAGTATTATATTCATTATTTGCTGGAAATGGCCCTAATGCAGGTACAAATCTAATAATATCATTATCATTATCAAATTTGCTATTAATTAAATTAATGCTATCCTGTTTTTTATTATATAATCTCATACAAGTTAAGGAATTTTTCCCACAAAGAATTCTTCTTAGTCAAGCTTGCCATTCACCAGTTGATCCAATATATTCTCAAACTTCTGACTTTAGCCAATTTAATCCTTCACTTAATGCTTCTTATGTTGCTATCCCTGTGACATCAGCTTTCTCACCTACACCTATAAATGAGATGCAATTAGAATGTTTGATAAATGGCAAGGGGCCTTAGCTATGATAATAGCAAATCGTTCATCTGGTGATAGTCAAGCCATTTCTGCTTTAGGTGATTTATTAAAAGAACATGGCTGGATTCATGTGTCTCATATTTGGTAAATTATTATTATATTTACATATCTATCTATCTAGTGTTCCATGTTGCAATCCAAAAAAGGAAACAGAATGGCCGTAAAGGTGGTTGCAACCAGCAGTTGCAATCATTTTTATATGATGCAAGGATGGTAGCAACCATCATCAAAAGTTGCAGCCGGTATCCTTATATCTATCTATATCATATATTATTATATTTTTCCATTTCTCCTTCTATCTCTCTTTAATTAAATATTAATAATTTTATATGTTTATATATATGCTTATAGTTATATTTTATCACCAAAATCATCAATTAATTCTGGTATTGATACACCTAACACTTGTTTTACTCTGATTGGAAAAGATTATTTGTGCAACCACTCAATTGATTATTTTCATATTGGGAAGCTTTACAACTTACTGAAATTTATGAATTTGGAATTTCATTAACTAGCAATGAAAGTGGTTTACCATACTTACAGGTCTATAAACTTATGTGGTTAGTTGATTGTGGCTATTTGAATGAAGCAAGAAGGTATTGTTTAGACTTAATTTTTCAAACATTTATAAATATAAATATAACTATTTGAATAATGCTTATTTTAATGTTTAGATATTGTGAATCAATTGCAAATATAGCAAAAGTTTATACTAAAGGATCACCATATTTTCATGGTTGCTTCTTACAAAAATTAAAAGATTTGACTCAATGTTTATTAGAACATGGTGGAAGCAATTCAGAGTATGTGTGTCATCATCATCATTGTTATTGACATGTAAATATATTTTAAATATTTAATTGAATTCTCGGGTTTATATCATTTATCATATAGTACCAATGAATCCTCATGGATTTTTGCCAAAAAAATGCCTAAAGCTACTTTTGATTCTTTGTGGGAATCACTGGAAGGAAAGTTTAACAAATTTGTCACAGGTGACTCTGTTGACAAAAGTGACAAAAATCACCTTCCATGAATTCTGAACCAGTTGGTCCATTTTCTTATTACAGTACAATCATCCAACCAATCCCGTCTCATAGTGCTTCAGCTGATTCATATGATAATTATTATGGTAATGAAAACAACTTCAATACACAATATCAGCAATTTAACAACAATAATAGCAGTAGTAGTTATTATAATATTGATAGTAGTAATAACACAAACAACTACACCAATATCACCATCACCACAAACATCACCACTAACAGCAATACCAGCAACACTAACTATAGCTACAATACCTATAGTAACAATACTGCTAATAATGACTATAGTAATAATGAATTTGAAAATGATGTTGGTGATTTGGGCTTAAGTAATAATGCATTTGGTTCAAAAAAGAAACAGAAAGAAACAAAAAGAAACTTCAACAGAAGATAAACAAGGATGAAAATGTCATAAAAATTGCTAAAATTGATGAAAGATAAAATGAAAATCAGGACAACAAAAAAGGTATTTAGAAAATAAATAAATAAGCAAATTTATTTTTACAGGTAACTAAAAGATTTTTGTTCTGATTTAAAAATAGAGGAAGGTAAACTTAGTTGGTTGGAAAATTTTTCACAAAAAAAGAAAATGGTAAAGTTGCAAATTTAGAAGAAATTTCATTTTATTATGATCCTGTTCAAAAAAGATGGGTTAATAAAAGGTAAAAAGATCTCAACTGCCCTTATATGATCAAATACATATGCATTTATAACTTTTTTTTTTGATTAGGGTGGCTCAGAAACTTCTTCAACTTTAACACCACCACCACCATCCCAACTTGAGCAAAAACAACATCACCAACCCCCTCAGCATCAATGACTATTTCTAATAATAACAAAAATAACAATAAAAAATTCTACACTGTCTGATAATTCAATAGGACCACCAGATGTTAATTCTAAAAATATATCAACAACAACAATGCCACCACCACCATTAAGTGTAGGAGGAGTGCATCTAGTACAAGTAATTATCACCCTGTTCGAGTTAGATATGTAGATGTTATGAATCAAATACCACCTTCAAACTAAATATAGAAAACTTTATAGTTTATTAAATATTAATAATAAATTCTATTATCTGCTATAAAATTCATGTCATCATCATAAGTGACATGATTGTATGATATTATCTTCTATTGTATACTTTAAAGAAAATATATTTTTTATTATATTTATTTTTTAATGAAATTTTTTTTAAAAAACTATTATATTAATTTTCAACACTAACATTTTATTTAATTAAATTAAATTGTTGATTTTTTACTGTAAAAAATATATACATTTTATGAATTTATCCATTAAAATTTCATTATAAAATATATTCTGGTCATTTACCATTAAGCAGCACGATGTAATGAAAATGCTTCAACAATTGAGGACCCCTTTAATAATTCTTGTCTAACGTTTTCATCCATAACTACATATTTCTTACACAATTTTATAACCTCATCCAACAATCCTGATGGTATACAAACAACACCATCCAAATCACCAACTATAATATCATTTGGATTAATCACAATTGTGGGATTATGATCACCATTTAGAATGACTGGTTGATTTAATGTAGTGGGTCTGGTATAAGCTTTTGCTGACAATACTGATGTAGACCTTGCAAAAACCTTGATTGCAAGCAGATAAAATTATAAATAATTGAGTAAATATGATATATAAACATGTATATAAAATAATAACTAGATATATATATATATATAAGTACAGGTAACACATCTGAACGTATTTCTGAAAGATCACGAATACGACCATCAACAACCACACCATTTACACCTCTCATTTTAGCTCTAGTATTCATCAATCCTCCCCAAACAGCATTTATAGCATCTATTAATAGATAAAAAAATTTATTAAATGTAAAGATGAATGATATTATAAGGATCTCTACATACTTGGTGGTGCAGATACAAACACTACACTATTCTCTGGAGCAGAATCAGCCTTTTAAAATTAAAAACATAAATTATTATAATAGTCATCATTTTTTTTTACAAAGATTTTTTTAATTCAAAATTACAAAGTGATTATCGGGTTTTGGTGAGGTGACATCAGATATAGGCACAAACTATAAAATAATGATAATTTTTAAAAATTAAATAAAGGTTCATTCATAAATAGATAAATTGATAGATAGATTATTAACCTTTACAGTAAAAACTGGACCAATTATTTTATGAGTTCCTGATTGTCTTTCAGGTGAAAACATTGTTATATCAGGTAAATATCCTCCATTTGAATGTTTTAATCTTAATAATGCATCTGAAATCTAAAGTAAAACAAAAAGAGAGTCAATTGATTTAAAAAAGCCAATAAATGAATGTTTTGAACTGACATCGCAACTTGAATAATAACTTAATGTTTTTAATTTTTCTGATAAAATGTTATCCATGCTAGATAAGATCTTTGAAAATCATGTAGGGGTTAACTCGTGATAAGTATGGTTTCAAGTCACCTCGGTCCGAAATTTAAAAATTTTTAGAAGATCTTTCTAATTTAAATATGGTGCACCAACTCTTAACCCGACAATCACGTGACATGTTTCAATTTTCATTATGCAGTGTAACATAAAATTAC